TGCAGCACTTACCCCCCACATAACCCCCACACACCCATCGTTTGGAGCTAAAAAATATCCTGTAGGCGTAGCAGCAGGTGATTAGCAGACACAATTACTATGCCTCACTTACCTTTTTACCGCTCACCCGCATGTTTGAAACTCGCTTGACAGAGACAGCCTTGTTGCTTCATGAGATTTGAACCCCCCGAAACCACTAAATGGCTGTGGTTTTTAAGTTAGTTTTTTAACATCTGCTAAGGGGCTGTATGAAAATTATTCGTTTTTTTTTCAAGGAAACGTGGCCTCAAATATTTGGGAGTACTTAGAAGGGTATTTTAATTGCTCCATGCCCCAGATTTGTGTTTTATTTCATCCTTTCCTTGTAGGATATACTGTAAAACATCAAAATGATTACGTGTCTTTTGGGTGCACCATGGGTCTTAAAGGTGTGTTTTATCATATGTAGTAGACAACAATTTATGTCTCTGCAGCAGGGCTTTATTTACTAGCTGCTCGTAGGACCAGTATGTCAGTTTTGAGGCAATGGATGTGGGATCTTTATAGTAAACAGCCGATTGTAACTTAAATCTTGTAACATTAACAACCAAGTTAACCTATAGTATAATTCAAATGTAACACAACCCAACTGCTACTACTGGCAGAGGTAGGATGTAACAAACTACAGTAGTCGTTACTGTACTTAAGTAGTTTATTCAGGTATCTGTACTTGTTTTTTCCTGTGTAGTGCTGAAGCCCCTTCAGCCCAGTGAGAGTAATAATTGTTAATTTAGTAGCTCTTAAAATAAAAAATAAAGAGCTCTGCGAAAACAATTGTTCAATTAATGAATTAAACTTAAAGCCCTTGCAAGGAACTTTCAGATTTTGTTGATTCTGGCGAGCCCTGTGGACAAAGGCGGTACTGTTTCTACCATCTTGTTTCGTCTGATTCATGGGAATCCAATGCTGGCTGACATATAGAAATAACCAATCTTTGTTTATGTAGGCCATATAGAGGCATCAGTATTACATTAATGGTGTTTCATAACCAGTTCAAAACTCATTGTAGCATGTTTAAAATCAGGATTGAGTTGAGAAATCAGGAGGGAGGGTGCTACAGGGGTGGGGAAGGTCCAAACCAAACATTTATAACCCTGAGGACTGTCAGAGTCAAAATAATTTTCGTACGGCCCCTAATATAGGGCGGTGTGTCCACTGGGAGAAGCTGAAATAAGAAGTGTGATGACATTTAAAGTACTTTGCTAAATGCACCCATGAGAAATTTTGGTTGTTATTGCATGTTGAATTTACCAGCGAAGTATTAACCGTTTATATAGCCATTTGTAGACCATAAATGGAAGCAAAATTATACAGTGGAAACAACATAGGTGCCAAAACTACATTTACAAGGTACAAAGGGCCTTGTATATCACATGATGGAATAACTGAGCCTGCAGCCGCTGCTCCAGACTTAAAACATTGGCAGGCATTTATAACATTATTTAACAGTAGTCTTTGTTTAGGGTGGTCAGACATAGCTGACAGGATCCAGAGGATGGACATTATTTACAAAACTGTGTCTGGAGGGAGAGCTGTCACGTTTACATTCAAGAAGAAACCTGCAGGGCCAGAGATTGTAGATTATTGATGTACATATTACAATGCTGTGGAATTAAAAGGCACTTCTAAATCATTTGTTTTAAAGGTCCGGTGTGGAAAAGAACACAGTCATCCATAATGCTCAGGGAGGAAAATAAAATGAGGGCTTTTCCTTTGGCAGATGAACATAAGAGGTTTACGCTGAAAGAACAACACAGGGATGATTCAATTATCCACCGTGGCCCTCGCACTGGGATCCCCCCTCTCTTAATGCCACAAAGAATGATGTTTTCCCTCAGTGCAATAAATAACTTTTTATTCCCACTGCCACGGAAAGTTCACCTGCACAGACGATCACAATGTCTGCCCTCATATTTGTTACTGTGGCCTTTTAATTTGACCTGAGCCAACCTGTCATGCTCCATCAAACGTGGGAATCGGATACCTTAGGAACACAGGCGCCTTTGCTTTGCGTTATGCCATCCCCTGCCCCCCTCCCTCCCCCTGTGCCTTAACACATTGAGCCTGGGAGCAGAGAGAAAGTCACCCGCATCACATGAATCAAGCACTGTGACAGGGGTCCGTTGGGTCTGGGATCACACGGAGGATCACAAGTCTCTCTTTTTACTGCTCCCTCTCCCATCTCTACTAGCTGGGGATGAGAGAGGCGGGATGGCCCTCTAAAGGCATATATTTCCGTTGATGAAGAGATAAATCAGATCATTTCTGGAGTAAGGAAGGGAGCACAGAGAGAGCCTTCTTGGTCGTCCCCCTTTGAGATGTAAATGGCACGGTGGCACTGAAAGAGGGCCAGGTGTCCGATGCAAAGAGGGAAAGCGTGACGGTGCATGCATTCCTCAGGGACCTAGACCATTAACTGTTGCTGTGCCTAATGTGGGCAAACATCAACAGATCCCATAATGGTCCATAATGGCCTTGGTGGAATGACACAATGGCTAAGTATGATTAATAGCTATTTACAGGTACTCTCTTTAATTAGACATGAATTGTATCTGCACACACCTAGACTCCCTGCAGGTAGACTGATAATATGAAATGTAACAAATAGTAACGACAATTCCCAAATCATGTGCAACCTGCCGCCTTCTCTTTTAATCCCTGCTCTGACCCCTGATGACCAGAGGTCAACAGCTGCAGCTCACGCCTTGCTGGACGTTTAGAAATGAGTTAGTAGGCTTTCCGAGGTCATCAAGGTAGCAATTTGCAATGAACCCTTTAAAGCCTGAGGCAAAAAAACTCCAATATCCCACACCTCAAGGTGGAGAAAAGAGGCATTTGGCAGTTCAAACAGTGAATTAAGAGAAGAGCAGCAACCTGTTATTAGTCTAAACGAGCAGAGAGACCAGGAATGAGCTCTGTGGGGGGGAGGCTGTTCAAGCTGAAAAGAAAGACGTAGAGCAGAAAGGTCACATATTTATGTCATGAATGGATACACTCCTACAGTGACTTCACAATCTTTTTTCATTTGCAGAACCATCAACTCCCATTTGATAAGATGTTGTACCATGTAGTCCTATCTGAGGTGAAATGGATCAAATCCCTCATTCATTAAATTAAATTCACTAGATACATTTTTATTTTATTATTTAGGAAGCTCTTAGATCCCAGACCTCACTCTGGTATTCACTGCTGTACCCAAACTTTTTTTAAGGAAAAGTTTGCCATATTTGTGCCTTTTTTTTGTCAAGAGTTATGGGAGAAGATTGATACCAGACTCATACCTGTACGCTATTTAGCTGCATGGAGCCAGCAGTCAGTTAACTTAGCTTAATATAAAGACTGGACCTGGGGAAACAGCTAGCCTGACTCTACAAACAAAGTTCTCTGACCAGCAACTCCAAGAAATAGTCCAGCACATAACAACCTGAGGTATAACATGTTAGTTAGACTGATGTTTCAGGTCTTTGTGCTAAACTAAGCTAATATTTGCACTAGAAAGCAATACACACACCACTGGCTTGGTCTCTTTTGTGGTGCAGGGAATCAAATCCCCTAAAATCAAATTGGTCAAAATGATTCACTGTACCTCAAGCAAGAGAAAATAAAAATGGGCTAAGCATATTTCTTGCATCTAAAAATATGTCAATTTATACTGATACTACTGCTAACTATTGCAAATGAAAGAACCCCTAAGTTCTTAGTACTAAACAAGAGATTTAGATAAACACTCAAAATACAGTGAAAGGGAGAAACATGAACAGAAAAAGCTAAAGACAGGAAGCATCAGAGTCCCTGGCTTCCATCTTTTAACCCCTTTAATATTACCTCTTTTTCCATTATTAGCATACCCAAATAAAAAAAGCTTCTAACAGAAGAACTATAAGGCCAAAACACATGTATGAGGACTCATTTGAAAGCCAACATGCTCTAGTCTGTGGAAGTGTGTAAACATAACCTACTGACCGATGGGCCTATAAATCAGGAAATTTCCTGTCTATGATTATTAAGCAGGCTACAGCGTCAGCTAGTGAAAATTCTATTTTATATAGAAATATATATATATAT